GCTCAAGGCTAGTGCTCTCACTTGCCACTTCCAGCTTTCTGGTGGTTAATTGGAGATAAGAGACTCACAAACGTCACTACTCAGGCTTTCTTCAAACTACGATCCTCAGATCTCAGCCTCCTGGGTAGCTAGAATTACAACTGTGACTGGAGCCTGCCTTGAATGGATGGATTTAAGAGTCAGTGACTCCCCTACACAGTGGATGCTCAACAAAGTTCCTGCCTTTCCCTTCTTTGTGCAGCCGTGGGGGCAGCTGGGGCTGTTCCCTGGGCCCTGAGCAGAAGTCCCTGGGTGCCAGCAACAGGGAGGGGGGCCTGCTCCCCCTCTTCTAGCTTCTGACTCCAGCCGAGGAGCTGGAGCTGCCAGAGAGGCGCATTGCAGGGCCAGCCTAGGAGGTTCCGGCTGGGAGGGGGACCCAGAGAGGAAAATGAGGAATGCAAAGGAGTGAAAAAATAAATACATGTGTCTGTCTGGAATGATGGAGAGCCCCAGGCTGGAGGCGGGAGAGGCGGGCGGTGGGCTGGGCTTAGCAGAACTGCTGCAGTAGCACTTCCACACTCGCTCATTAGCCACGCAGTGAACTGGCCTCACCTCCCAGCGAGCTGTTCTGTGAGCCCCGACAATTCCAGCCCAGCCCGGGGAGGGCACCCAGCAGAGGGCACCTCCTGGAAGCAAGGGTGTCCCTCTCCTCCTTTGAGCTCTCTGGATGGTCCACCTCCCTTTTCTGTCTGGAAAGATTTGGGTGGCCCATAAGGCTCTGCCGGCCCCTCCACCAGATCCCTCCCCCACTCAGGCCAGCCTCACGTCCCAAGCCCTGCTTTCGTCAAATTGAACATGATGTCAAATTAGAGCCATCTCTGGGACAGGCCGAGAGAAGCTCCCGGTTTAATGAGGCAGCGTCGAAAATCAATAACTTAATTGCCGCTGTTTGATGGACTTTTATCCAATTTATACTCTCCCCGGCAGCCTACGTGCAGTGCATGAGAAGTGTGTGTGTGTGTTTGTGTGTGTGTGCGCACGCGCGCGTGCCCAGAGGGGGACTGTCTGGGCGCCAGGAGGAGGGGTGAGCAGGAACCCGGGCCCACAGCCAACTACTTTTCAGAGGCAAAACCGGGATGGACGCGGCCCTCTGGCTGTCCCTTCTGCCACGGAGGGGCAGGGAGACCAGCCCCGGAGGACCGCAGAGGGGCTGGAGCGGGGAGGGTCCTGTGGGCCGAGGGCCAGCGCACGCTTTCCAGCCAGGCCACTCACTCTGACCTGAACTTGCTCGGGATGGCTGCCATCCCCCCCCTCTGCTCATGTCCCTCACCCCGCTGACCGAGGACTAGAACCATCCCCATCGGACAGAAGAGGAAAGCAAGGGGCAGAGCCACTGCCTTTCCTTGCCAGAGAGCCCCACAGCTGGGAAGCCCCGCGAGAGATGTGCACCCGAGTCCTCGCAGGGGCCGGGTCAGGAAACAGGCTGGGGCCGAGCGGGGGGGGGGGTGCGTGGAGCCGCGGGGCGTCCACGGTGGAGAGTCCCGCAGACCCACGGATGCAGAGGACGAGCCTCCCAGCCCCAGATGACCACTGTCCCGCTTGGTCCCCCGGGCCCAGGCACGTCAGTGATGCAGGTGATAGCCTCGGATGCGGA